CACATCTCCCCCAGGGCTTCTCAGCACGGAGTGCTTAGACAGGAAAGTAGCGCGGTGAACAGGTCGCTCACCTCAACCGGGTAGGTCGCGTAGGTCTTGCATGGGTCGGCCTGGCTTGATGTCAACCCAGCCGCCTCATTCACGATCCATTGCTGCTGTTCAGGCGTGCGCGGCGTGTTCCGTGCCTTGACAGCAACTAAATGCTCCTGGTGTAGCACCGGGGGTGGGATGGGATGAACTGGTAAGGGTGAAAAAATTAGGAGGTCCGTCATGCGACAGTCAGATGACGATGGCGCTGAAGGCGTTCACATGGCATGTTTGCTCACCTTGGCAGCATAGCAGATGCTGCACGGCATCCGCGATCCATGCGAGAGTGTGCAACTAATCTTGCCGCTCTCGGGGTAGTCGCACACCCAGGCGTACAGCAGTGGCCGCACTGTTTGCCAATCACCGAAAGGGTCCCTGAGACGGAAGCCGCTGCAAGGAACGGGTAGAGTGGTAACGTCAACAGCCATGACGACTCTGTGCATCAGCGAGGAGGGGCAAAGGGTAATGCAACATACAAAAGCGCTGCGCACACTATGCCCTGTGCACACGGTGACGACATAGCATGACGGAAATCGAGTACGTACCTGTCCATGCCATCCAGAAGCGGCTGTAGCACGGTGAGGACGCATCGCTGGAAGAGCATCACCTTTTCAACAGCAGACATTGCCGAAGGGGGGATAGGAAGGAGAGCAAGTAGCGTGTGCCCGGCTTTCCCCCATCGCTTGGCCTGGGAGATGTTGGCAAGCGTCATCATGAGCGGCCACGCCTTCTTCCGGCCGTTGTTGCTCATGTGCGTCACATCCGAATATAGGATGATACCCCCCACGACTTCGGACCATCCGAAGTGTTCCTGCATGCACGACAAAGACGGAAAACCTCCACGGTCAAACACCACCAAGGTAATGTGTCGCCTGGCGGATTAAGCATGGTACACAACACTCCCCACTAACATGACGCACTGAAGATGCTCCCTCCACATCAGCGCGTCAACGGAGGACGGCGCACGCGTGTGGTTTTGGGTGGCAGCGGGGTATTTACATACCTGAGCCTCGTTCCACCACGTTCCAGTTTCTGGCGTGGTATAGCGACGCTCGCCTGTGCCATGGTCCTCATCGACACAAGCCTTGAGCTTGAAGCCGGGCGCGTTGTTGGTGTGCCCAAACAGTTCAGCAAAAGCCTGGAGTACGGCATCAAGAGCGAGGGAGAACCAAACAGGGGTTTAGTGGCGGGAGCGGGGAAGGGTCGGATCGCACACATGGACCAAATGGAGGCGGAATCTGCATTTCGCAGCCACGCATCCACGGCCGGCTTACCTGCGCAGAGTTCTGGAAGAGGAGGCGTTGTGGAGGATGACCCTCAATCTCGAAGGTCGCCACTGACCATCCGCGATTGAGCCCAACCAAGCGCTCCATCTCGAACCTCTCCAGATCCTTGCAGTTCCGGATCTCTGAGATCACAAGAGGCGCAAGGCCGGGCTCCACCACGAGCTGAAGCAGGCCATTGATGTCGATCTCCGCCATGCCCATTCCGCCATTTACACGCCTCACGAAGTGCAGCAGCTTCACCGCAATCGGATTGAGGGGCGTCGCATTGCTCTCCCCGGAGATGATTGTCGGCGGGGCCGCGTGACTCACTCCAGGGCGGCACCCCGGAACCGCACTCGTGTCATCTGCAGGTGTTCCGGGTGGCGGTTGATGCTCAGATTCAGAAGCCCCCACGTTCCCAGCCGAGGGTGTTGCGTCATCTTCAGCTTCATGCACGCGAGGAGGACCATTCACAGCGTCGGTGTTGGACGCATTAGACGAGGTAGGTGAAGCGGGAGCAGCGGGAGCGTCCGACAGAATCTCTTGCACGAATAGCACTGCGTGTAGTCCGGCGGATGGTGCAGATTGCGAGGGCCTTGCCACGGCGGAAAGGCCTTGGCAAGGGGTCCGCCGTGACTTGTGACCGCCATAAACTTGGGCGTTGGGGAACCATCTAGTGCAAAACTCGCAGACGACGCCAGGTAAGGAGCCCATGCGGTACGGATCTGTCTAAGTGTTGAGGAATGGCCTGTGAAGCAACGAGCGTCGTGGGAAGCTTGAGAAGGCATTACGTACTCCGTGCAAGAAGGCTGGTAATGCAACACGGTCATCGCCAAACCGCGCACTGTTCAAGGCGGCTTGTATCACTGCACGACTGGCACTTGAGCGGGCAGCTTATGTTTGGACGTGCCTAACGATGTGCGCGCCGCGCGGTCGTGACAAGGCACCCTACAAACCGCTCACATCCCGGGTCGTCTTCCCTACAAGGCGTGTCGCCCCCGTTTTGACAGACCACGACGTGAGCAGCGGAGAATGCGCTTGATTCTAAGACGGTAGGTCTTGTGTGTGCGTGAGAAGGACGTGCCTGTGGATAAACGCACTCTTGGTGTGTGAGAGTCGAGTGGGATGAGGAAGAGCGGGAAGAGATCCGTTTGGATCTGTAGTTCAGTTGCGAATTGCTAGGGTGCATTCCTGAGTTGGTGGGAGGGCAACTGTTGGTGGCAAGCGCATTTTCCGGCCCACTGAATTTTTGGGTACACTTGCCACCAACTCGATGTGAACAGTTGCCCTGCCACCAACCGGGAATGAACCCTTATACGGGGGAGATCGCGCTCACGTTAGTGAGCTCACAGTGGTGAGCTCGACAACGGACAAAATACAGCGCAGGATATTACATTGTACAATTGCATTTAATCTATACACTAAACTCGTTGATGATAACTACTACACGGTCACATGAAAATGCCTGCTCGAGATCCACCCCTAGTTGACAACGTGACAGTCTAAAAACCATACAAGATCTCTAGTGTGGTCTGGCAACATACGGGAAGTACACAAGAACTTCGTGCCCTCACGATAACGCATCGCCGATTGTGCGTTGTGGTTCTGCTTCATACCCCTTTGAGGCACCTACTTGAATGTCCGTGCAAGGTTAGATGACAATCCAACACCGTACCACAACGGATTCGCCTGGTCGCGCAAGCCTTGTATGGATGCGAACGCTAGCACCGTCGCCAAACTAAACAGCGATGTCGATTGCGCATCAACGCTCGTGCGTTGGGCCTGTGCTTCATCCCACACTCTCAATGCACCTGGCGGAGGGCCCATGCAAGAATGGAGCCCCATCCAACACCATTCCACAACGGATACGCCTGGTCGCGGCAAGCCTTGTATGGATGCGAACGCAGCACCGTCGCCAAACTAAACTGCGATGTCGATTGCGCATCAACACTCGTGCGTTGGGCCTGTGCTTCTTCCCACACTCTCAATGCACCTGGTGGAGGGCCCATGCAAGAATGGAGCCCCATCCAACACCATTCCACAACGGATTCGCCTGGTCGCGCAAGCCTTGTATGGATGCGAACGCAGCACCGTCGCCAAACTAAACAGCGATGTCGATTGCGCATCAACGCTCGTGCGTTGGGCCTGTGCTTCATCCCACACTCTCAATGCACCTGGCGGAGGGCCCATGCAAGAATGGAGCCCCATCCAACACCATTCCACAACGGATACGCCTGGTCGCGCAAGCCTTGTATGGATGCGAACGCTAGCACCCGTCGCCAAACTAAACTGCGATGTCGATTGCGCATCAACACTCGTGCGTTGGGCCTGTGCTTCTTCCCACACTCTCAATGCACCTGGTGGAGGGCCCATGCAAGAATGGAGCCCCATCCAACACCATTCCACAACGGATTCGCCTGGTCGCGCAAGCCTTGTATGGATGCGAACGCAGCACCGTCGCCAAACTAAACAGCGATGTCGATTGCGCATCAACGCTTCGTGCGTTGGGCCTGTGCTTCATCCCACACTCTCAATGCACCTGGCGGAGGGCCCATGCAAGAATGGAGCCCCATCCAACACCATTCCACAACGGATACGCCTGGTCGCGCAAGCCTTGTATGGATGCGAACGCAGCACCGTCGCCAAACTAAACTGCGATGTCGATTGCGCATCAACGCTCGTGCGTTGGGCCTGTGCTTCATCCCACACCCTCAATCACCATGTCGAGGGCCCACGCAAGAATGGAGCCCAAGCCAACACCACACTACATCTCCATTCCAGTTGGCACTAGTACACGTCGTGCTTGAACAACTTCCAACGACCAGTATCGGTCGCCCATTCGCAATGTGTGCTCAGTATAGCATTCCATAGTCCACGAGTTGGAAGCACAAAGAGTGCGTCCTAAGCCCCATGCACTCACTAAACTTCACACCATATGACACCATAAACGGCTATTCACTTCAAATTGTCTTAGTTGTACTTTGCAAGTGTATTCAGCTACTATGTTAAAATTTGATCAATGCACTAGGCACTGTATTTTGCAGGATGTGATAATTGGTGGTGTCGAAACGGTACTACATTCTGTGGAGATTGATGCGATGGCGCTGATTGGCCGACGCATCTCAAACGACCCTCCCCACTACCGCACCAGCCAAGCTGGACATTCGCCGCGGAAGCAGCGACTGTGATCAAGCGTGTAGTGCGTTTCTGATCGGGTGGCAAATCGTAGGACCGTCGATGGTGCGTGTTCTGCTTACAGTCCTCTCCATAGACTCGCAAACCACCCCAACTACCGTCGTGCCCCACTCACTAGCTTCCGTCACCCTCATACCCACTACCTTGACGCCCCTCGCTGCTGAACACAGGTGTTTCCAAATCGCCAGTTAGACGGAGTAGCGACGAAGGAAAGGGCTGACGCCATGTGATTAGTAGCTACTAATTCAGGTGTAATTGTACCTTCCGATTAGGGTGAAAAAGTATTGGCTTCACCGGGACAGGGTCAAATAGCAACAAACCTTTCCGGTTTTCTTTTTTAAACTCAGCTACCCAATCCCGCAATTTAAAACTTGCATTCGTACCACCCTCATGACACCTGCTACTCGGCAAACAGAAAAGCAGGAGGAGGCGAAACGACGCACGACACGAAGGATGTCGCATCAGACCGACCAAGAGGGTGGGGCCAGATCTAGGGCTACCAAAAAGGCCGCCGCGCAAACCAATCAAACGAAACGTGCGGCGGGGAAAAAGGCTGAGGTGGGAAAGCAGAAGCCCGGGAAGAAGGCGGAGGACAAGGGGAAGCAACCAACGGCACGCAAGCGTGTTTCGGCCGTCAGGAGCGATGCGTATGTTGCCACTGCTGCCCTTGAGCCCGGTCATTTCTGACGACGGCACCATCGGCGGGAACGAAGACCCTGGGCGTGGCGGCGTGAGTGTTGCCGTCCGGTCGGGGGACAGAGAGGGCTTTGCGACTGGAGGAAAGCACGGCGACTCTCCCCGCCAAGATCAGGCCGCAACTTCGCCGTCCGTGGCAGAGGCAAAGCAGCAGCATCTGACGCTGCCCCCCCCCGCTCGTGGTCGAAATATCTGCTGCAGTGATAGATAAGGAGAAGGATGCTGCGCACAATTGCACGGAGCGGCCGAAACACGACATTGCCGACGTAGGTGGATCTCCTCCCTCTGGGGGACGCGGGAGGCGTAGGCAGAGGAAGAGCGATGGTGAGGAGGAGAATGACACCCCCGTGGCTGAGGACATGCCCATACGCGCGAAGAGGAGGCAGACGACAGCCAGCGGTGACGACGCCGGTGGTGCTGAAGTTGGGACAATGCGAGGCACCACGGCGCCAAGTGGCTTGGCGACAGATCATGCAATGCGGCATAAGGTGGGATCCGGTCCGAGGAAACCATCTAGCGGACGGAGGGGGAAGCAATCTTCGGGGGGGAATAGGCCGAAGCGCGGCAAAGAAGGCCCTGGTGAAGCGGATGTTGAGGACGAGGGGGATGGGGAGGAGGAGGCCGAGGAGGATGCGGAGGAGGAGGACGAGGATGCAGGGGAGGGAGAAAAGGACGAGGATGAGCAGGAGGGCGACGATGATGATGAGGAGGAGGAGGAGGAGGAGGATGAGGATGAGGACGATGAGGAGGACGATGAGGGGGACGACGAGGATGAGGAGCAGGAGGAGGAGGAGGAGGAGGATGAGGAGGAGGAGGAGGAGGAGGAGGAGGAGGAGGAGCAGGAGGAGGAGGAGGAGGAGGAAGAGGAGGAGGAGGATGATGAGGAGGAGGATGAGGAGGAGGAGGACGACGAGGAGGAAGAGGAGGTGGAGGAAGGGGGCGGATGAGGAGGAGGAGGAGGAGGAGCCGGCAGGGAAAGGACGGGGCGCGCGAGGCGGGCGGGGGAGTGGCACAGGGAAGGTTGGGGGCCGGTCTGGACAATCCCGGAAACGCGGGGCGGGTGACGCAATGCGTGGCGGACCAGCGGGCAAATCGAAGGCGCGTAAGGTGAAGGTTGAACTTGACCGGGGTGGAAGGAAGCAAGTGAGACAGGGAGCTAAAGGCGATGGAGACGGAAAGGGACCGCGCGCGAAAGGGGTACCTGTGGGTTCGGCAAAGAAAGAACCTGCCCGTAAACGAGGCAGCACCCGCCAAAGCACACCGCGGAAACGGGGCAACGATAAGGAGCTGGCAGCAAAACCGAAGGGACAGCAACGTGGTAAGCAACGTGTCACAAACGACTGGCATAGCTGCCGCGGTTAGTGCTGAACAGACCCTAACAACACCGTGTTCCACCCGTCTTTTCCCGCGCAGGGAAGGAGAAGGTTGACGAATCGGCTAAACCGGGTAAGGCGTGACTATACACTACAGTTCCGTGCTACACCCATGTTAGAATCATGCGGTTGCTCGTCATGTTTGCACGTGTCCTAGTGCACCTTACAGACACCAGCTCCGTGCTCATCCTCCGTGTGACTCTCAGCCCCCCGTGTTACAGGCATTGGGCCACCGGTAACCGTGCAACGGATGCAGCTAGCGAAAGGGGCGGAAGAGCGAGTGTGGCACCGCTATCCACAGGAGGACCAAGGTTCTTCACGCATACTCCCGGCCCGAGCAAAGTCGCTGCGACTGCACCCGGCGCGGCAACAGGCGAGGAATCCGAATCCCCTCCACCAGCCCCCGTCACGCACTCCCCACTCGCCTCTCCCTCATACCCATTTCGGCCACTACACGCTTCTCCAACCCGGGGCAGGGCGGTCTCCCCCCTCGCCGGTCCATCGCGTGTGCATCAACCAAGCACCTTTGCCATCCCTTCCCTGAGCTTCCCTTTTCCCGCCAGCGTGATAGTGTGAGGGCACACGGTGCTGCTGCAGAAGACGTTGATCCCCTTGGCCAGAGAGGGGTTTCTACACACCCCTTTTCCGGATGTCATGGATGCGCTGGCTGAAGGTGCAGAGCACGGGCAGTTTGTTACACGAGACGAGTTCCAGCAGCTACGGTCTGAGATGTACGCCATGTTTGCTCAGCTCGGCCTGCGTCGGGGAGCAACTGCCAGCTATGCCGGGGGGGCCGCAGTGGTGCCGATGGGTGGTACCCGCCGCCGATGAGTGCCGTGGACAAGGCACGTGTGCTTGTGCTGCAGGAGACCAACCCATTCCCGGTATTGTGGCGGGTTGGGGTTGACGTGGCAACCAGGGCAGGGTTGGGAATGACCTGGCGGTTGGAAAGGGTGCGCGGGAGCGGTGCAGGGCGACACGTGACTCCACACGTGGGCGGTGGGCTTGACGTGGCTCTTTCGGATCTCTGTGTGCGACGTGGCAAGTGGGTTGGGTTGGTGGGTTTAGACGGCGGACGCAAGAGGGTGTGACGTGGCGGGATGTGTGGCTTGGTGCTGACGTGGCACCTTGGAAGGGCACACGGGAGCGGCGCTCAACGAGGCGCCGCATGTCAGGTGGGTGGGGTGTGACGTGGCATAGGGTGGGCGGGTGTGACGTGGCACGTGGGGCTGGCTGCTACCTGACGATGCGGATGCAGGAGGGTGTGCCGTGGCGGGATGTGTGGCTTGGTGCTGACGTGGCGGCTTGGAAGGGTACACGGGA